CACTGTTTGCATCTTTTGGCACATTTACTTTCATTTGTTCCTTGTTTCATCCAATTTCACACTCAATGTTAAATCAGATCTAAAGACAACACATTAAAAGTGGTAACATCTGCTGTGGCATTTGAGAAAAACAAAACACCCTTATACCTAGATCCCACAATTATAAGTAGTTTATCTTATCCAGAGAGTGCAAAGGCCCCTATTCCTACTCAAGGTCCAGCCCATTGAGGACCATTTCACGTAATCTTTAGTAAAGGTCAGTGATTTCAAACACATCATCTGGCATTGCAAAGTTGTGTTCAGACATCAGTTCAACACAAAGATTATAGACATCCTCATCACAGGGGTAGTCCTTTACACAACAGTCTTCTCGACAGATATCGACTTTGATTTGGTCAACTGCCTGCAAGTAGTTCTGTGCGCCATTTAAACTGGGGGCAGCATACATCACTGAAGGTCGTCCACTGGAAGCGCGAGGGTTGTGGGCTGGCCTTATTCTGTGATTATTCCAGGCAGTCAGCACTTCATTGAGCTCCTCCTATACAATAGAAATCAATTGTTTTAAAATAAGGTTTGCTAAATCACATTATGGAACTCAAAGGAGAGATCTTTACTAGGTATAATAGTATAAAACAGTAGAATTTTGTTTCTGTATTCATATCAAAATCTGTAATGACAAGTACTGTATGTTACACTTACCTGTATGGTGTTTTGGAAGCAAAACTGAATGAGTGATTTGTCGATGAAGGTGTCAACAAAATGCCCATCTTCTCTCAGCTGTCCAAAATGGTCCATCCAAAACAGACTACACTGTGCTCTTAGTGTAGCCCACCAGCGTTCAATTCTCCGATTCCCAATGCTTGGGCCAAGAGTGACACATTCTGTGCTATCCTCATTCAATTCGCGCAGAAACTTTTGCATTACAGCAACGTGGGTGTTTTCGGTTCCATGATCAAGTCCTACTCTTTGTGGAAGACCATTGTTTTTATAGACAGCGTCTATAAAATAACCCGCAATAATT